TTTATTTATTAACGGCGCATATGAGATTTGCCCAATTGAGCTCGAAACGTGTATTCAGACATCCATTTCTTTTTGATATATGATTTGTTCTTTCAGAACACAACCGGAAAATCCCAGGTGTATCCTAAACTGAGACTGTAGTGAAATTTTTCTCGCTTATAGTGTAAAAGAATAAAGTTGATATAAAAAAATAAGATGTCAAGTTAAAACTTTTAGCTTGATTCTCTTTAATCTTTTTAGGAAGGATAAAATCCGATATTGACATTTGTAATTCACTATTCTTCTTTGTTCTGCTTTTAGAATAATGTTGACCGTTGTAAACAATTATTTGATGTCACATTGCGTTTATTAAGTAGTGTTCAACCACCTGAAACAGCAACTGGATCAGTATTATTACAATGTTTTGCACAGTTACCGCTTGATTTATCACCGATTATTGAGATTACATCAGATCATCAAACAGAAAATAACAATCTCTATTGGCTAATAGAACATGTACGAAAACGTTTAGAACAAGAGATTAATTTCGCTCGAGTGAATCTATTAAATGCATCTGCACAAGGGCCAATGTATGGATGTCTAAGTGGAATTAATGCATTATTATCATTATTCATTTCGGAAAAGTATGTTATAAATAGTAAGTTGAGTGATCTCCGTTTCGGTGTGACGCTTATCACAGTCCGGAAGCATAAACAAATGTATTCTGCGATCCTCAATTTTGAGTGATTATAGTCTAGTTAATTGAATTGTTAATCCGAGTTAACTGCATTACGTTTGAAATTGAATGCTTTTTGGACTGCGATCAATGGTGGTTTTGTAGGTTATTAGAAGGTAGAGAAATGTGCTCACACTTTTGATGTACCCATGCTTATGCGCTGCTGTAAAATGGTGTTTGTTGATGTTTACATAAGTCATGAATATAACCACAGATGGCTGTTGAAAATAGCAGTGGTACGGATGATCGGAATCCTTAGTCTGACTCTCAAGTTGACTATTTTCGTTCATATGAACGTCTGAATGTAGCCATGATTACTCTTTGTTTTTTTAGATCTAAAACGGTGAATATTGACCAATGGCGTCTACTATTTGGCAATTTAATATTACACGGTTTAGACATAGCCAAAATAACTGGTCCTATCGTCAGTGCCTCTGCTCCCGAAGGAATGTTTCCAATGGAATTAACAGATTGTAAGAATTATTTATATTTTGTTGGCCTTGTACCAATGTTTGATTTTATTTTTATAGTATCTGACAACTTGAATGAAAATGATGAGTCGAGCAATGTGACATCTCAAATGTTATTAGTGTGTTGTTGGCGTACAATTAAAGAAATATCACTATTGTTTAGTAAAATAGCACAAATTGGCATACCATACATTGAAAACGAACATAATTGGCTATATGTTAACATTGAACAAGTGAGCAGAGTTTTCATATTGAGTAGCAAACATTATTTTTATGTATATTTAGACTCAAACAATCTGTAATTATTTCATGGAACAATTGTTAAAATCAAGACATTGTGGTGCGTTTGAATTAGCCTATCAAGGTTTTTTAATCGTTTGCGAGCGACTATGGAGGTAAACTATGGATTATATGAGCAACGTGAATGATTTTGTTCTAAAACTCATAATTTTGTTATAGTTCTATGTGTCCCTCACTGTGTCAGTTGCCTGTTGAATGGATTGAAGATGGTCTTAAAATGGTTCAAGAAAATAGCTTATATAAAGATAAACTATGTTTGACACGACGTTCTGGTGGACTTCCATTTTATCTTCAATCAATATTGACTAATGAACCTCTTACGGACAATGTTCAACAACAACGAAAATATGTTGGCAAATTGATGGAAACACTTATCGAAATTATAGACAATGATTCAGATACGATCGGAGATGATCAACAAGAAAATAGTCGAAAGGTAGAACTGTTCGATGATGAATGAAATCAAACAATAGACTATATTTGTTGTTTAGATTCATGCATATAATACGTTACGTTCTTTTTATCGGAATACTCGTTTTTCAAATGATGTGATGCCGTATGTTGAACAAGGTCTACTCATTTCGGTTAGAGGATTCACATCCGAAATTTGGATGATTCGAAATTGTGCAACATTACTGTTAAGTGCAATACTTTTGAGAATATTTGGACCAGCAAGAATCAAAGATGATTTATCAAAGAAAAACAGGTATTTTATAGCTGAGATTTGATAATGGACACTCTCTTCATGTTGGTCTTGTATAATTTTAGTATGACAAGTCGTGAATTTTTCAATAAATATCCATCATTATTTAAATTATTCATAGAAGAACTCAATATAGGAACAAGGTAGTTCGATATGAAACAGATCTTAGTATTCTGAGCTGATATTATAATAAAGAGCTTAATACATTGTTTCTCGACCATTGAAGTAACTTTCAAGAACGATAAAAGAAATATTTTTGTACACTTCTGAGTGTGACGGCAAAGTGTCGCTATTGAATTGCGTTTATTTTACATTTTATAATTTGTTGTTATCTGTTTCAGCAATCCAAACGAATCATTATCTACACGATTGTTTGCCATATTACTTATTTTACGTCGTTTATATCCAAGTCCATTGGATGGATTTGATTGCACCGTGACTTTAGATCAACTTATACCTTATGTTATTAAGTAAGACTCTAGATTCTATTCGTTCTATCTTCTATCTCTACAACTATATGGTATCCTAGATGTCAAGAATCACCAATATTTCGAATCCGAGAAAATTCATCAAAAGCATTATTAGGAATAATTCGTCGTGATTTATATGGAGAAGCTGTTTCAGAACAAATTCAAATATTATCTAAACACGGAAGATCAATTAAACAAAATAAATTACATGGGGCTTTACTACAGGTAGATATTTAGAAGATAATAGAGACAAAATTAGAAATTGAGTTTTTGTTTAGATTAATGGAATATTGTTATTAATGGCAAAAAATAACGTAGACTTTACATTGACTAATATGAAAGATATATTGGAACCATTACAATGGTGTATTAAAGAGTAGGTTGAAAAATATTTTAACAAGAAATTGAACCTGTTGACTTTCTGAAAACTAATGTTTTCTGTTGCCTTTATTTGTGTAGTTGAACGAAATTTGAACTCTTTCCTTTTTGAATGTAGTGGTATCTGAGTAACAATTAGGTATACACAGTTATTAATTAACATTCGTAAATAATCGGTCAAACGATTAACTACTGACTCGTAAATGAGAGAGTCTAACATTTCCCTTCCGATGCCTTGACCTATACCAAAATGACTACATTCTCGAGGACAAGTTTCTTCTTTTACTCCAAAAATGATGAAAGGGAAATGTTTTCATTTTTATCAACAAGATGTCGTCTTTCACGTATTCTGATGAATAATAAATTTCATTTAGACATAAATCAATGACATTACTCTTACTGCGAGTCGAAAACAGCAAAATAAACATATCCCAACGGTTAATCATTCGATCAGTTCTTTACGATTACTGCAACCGTAACTGGTGGTGCATCTCTAGTAATAACCGAAAAATAATCGCCCAAAAGGAACGTTCACACTCGAATACGAGTGCTTTTCCTCGGAATGTAAACCACTCGTCTGACAGCATACTACTCACATAGAGGGAACAACATCGTTCATCTCGCCTGTCCGAAATTTAGCAGATTATTAGTAATTGTGCACACACACTACTGTGATGATGCTTCGAAAAGTCGAAAGAACTCGGGGTCAGAGTAACATTTTGATCAGAACTGGCCCTTCGAAGATGAGGAACTGTAAGGAGACCTCTCGAAACTGATGATTTGAACTACACTGTTAACGGTAGTCAAAAAGTAGGATATTCTTCCTTGTTCGTTATGAACTTATTTTTTCTAGAAATCCATGTCCGTTAACACAATGTTGTTATTTGGAGTTTTTATATAATTTATATAAGCTTCATCCAAATAACAATCAACTTCAAACATACTTACATCAAAATACTATGCACCTGTTAAAATCACCACCATCACCAACTCGTCTAGCTGCCGATCAACTAACTTCAGTACTAACCAAAGTTTATTTGTCAATATTTAACAATGAGAACAGTGAACTATTATTTGACTATATTAAACGAACCGATACTGAATTGAGTTTTGTTGAAATTTTATTGCAAGCTCCAACAAAATGTTTGACGTTATCAGTGTTTCAACAAAATTTAATCAAATATTGTTGTCATATGTTAACACAGATGAATCTGTTCAATGAACAACTATACACCAGTGTAGGTGATCCGAACTTTAGTCTGTTATATTTCTATTGTGATTTCGTATCTCTTTAGTTATGTTTATTATTGTCAAACATCAACGATGAACATTATTCACCACAAGAATATGCAGCTGTGGTATATAAAATCATTCATAACATGTTAAAACTAAGAAGGTAAATACATCTTGAATGCTAAGCGACAAATCCCGTGAACATTTATTGCTACTTGACTTTAATTTTAACACTTGACTTTGGATGAACTTATAAATCTGTAATTAAAAACCGCTTTACAGACATGTATAAACGTTGTTTCTTACTGCGTACAAATCTGACTTTTCCAGTAACTAAAAATTCTTCACTGATGTTTTTTATTTGTAGAACAATGAGTTTATCGTCAAGTTTCACCTTAATTGGGAAATTGTTACCTCTGTGTACAAAAACAGTAAATGTTGAAGATGTTTATGCACGAATTTTTGACTATATTGATGATGATGAAGAAGTTGATGATGAACTATTGTGTGCCATTCTATCGCTACTAAAAGATGCACATGGTGTGCTACACAGTGATTCAAATTGTATGTGCCAGCTCAAATTGATTCTTAAACGTGTAACTAAACATCTTTTATTCTACTTGTAGTGACATTATTTTGTAATTATTGGTATATCCTACTGAAAATATACTCATCTCGATCGGAAACAGTGCGACAGCAAGCATGTAATCTAATTATAGCAAATATTACTGATAAACGATTACAAGGTATAGTCACAAAATCTCACGTCAAGTCTCTCATTGACCTCACTTTGAATATTTCAGGTGTATTTTTTGCTAACTTATACTCAACGCAAACCGTTTTGTTTGAATATTTTGCCGATCAGCTATTTTCGACATCATCGTCTGTGTCAAGTATAATAAATTCAAATGAAAGCAACATATGGCAACTGATGAAAGTGATGTGTGATCTATTCATGAATTTAATAGATGGAATGTATTGTGTCGATGGAACAACGGATACCGTTCACACCAACGGAAATGAGGTATGTTCTAGGATTATTTGGACGAGAAAGATGCCGTTCACGGCCTAAAGATGACTACTATCTGTTTCAAAATAAACTGGACTCGGGTGTTTTTTGAATAACATTTGATCAGAACGAGCTAGAGAGGTCTGATTTTCACCATTTCGAAGTAAACTCATGGGGTTATCGAACCACTTAAAAATGATCTGAAAACTTTCAGTTTCAGGTGGTGTACCTTCTCGGACAAAATGTTCTGCAGTGGCGCGAACAGGATCTTAAATAAAATTTCGTTCTAAATTTACACCTAGATAGAGCAACATCTGCTCTACAAAACTAATCAAGTCCGAGACCTCTGTCTTTCTTCGCTTGGTAGCTATAGGCACTTAACTGGGACCACATGAGCAGCCTCGGGATCGATCATTTTTAGAGTTTGGAGCCTCAGTAATATATGGAAACATAGGTTTTCAACTATGCTGATCCACGTGGCGATGTTTGTTTTTCGAAAAACGTTGAAACATCTAGTGAAACTTTATACTAGGTGAAATAACTAATTTTTGCCTATTTTTATGTAAAGTTAGGAAATTCATAACTCAGTCAGAATTGATCCAAACTATGTCAGAATATCAAGATATACTCTATTTTATCTGCTCAAAGAGATTCGGTAGGTGAGAATAGTATAAAATATTCTCTTACTTCGGAAGATTTTTAGAAAACCTTTTGAAAAACCTAAATATTTTATGTTGGTTTTTGAAAGCCCTATTGAACTTCATGATATGTTGTAGATAAAATAGAGTATATCCTGATATTCTGACATAGTATGGATCAATTCTGACTGAGTTATGAATTTTCTGACAGAGGAAAACAGAAGACATAGGTCTCGGACTTGATTAGTTTTGTAGAGCAGATGTTGCTCTATCTAGGTGTAAATTTAGAACGAAATTTTATTTAGGATCCTGTTCGCGCTACTGCAGAACATTTTGTCCGAGAAGGTACACCACCTGAAACTGAAAGTTTTCAGATCATTTTTAAGTCGTTCGATAACCTCATGAGTTTACTTCGAAATGTTGAAAACCAGACCTCTCTAGCTCGTCCTGATCAAACATTATTCAAAAAACATCCGAGTCCACTTTATTTTGGAACATAGTAGAAAGTATATGTTTTTCTTTATTTACGTTCAATTTACGTTCTCATACTGCCGTCTCTCAACTTCGCAAATCTTTCTATGCTAAGTAATAAATACACAAGGTCTTTTTTCGTTTCAGGTATCCACTGTTGATTGTGATTTAGATTTGAAATGTCGTCGACAATGGCCATCGTCCGACGGTTACAACAATGTGTTTGTATCTCGTAATGAAGATGTTGATCATTATTCGCTGCTGTATGGTGATCATTTATTAGACATTATTGATCAGTATCTAGAGACATACAAAGACGCTTCGTCGTGTTTGATTAACGATTTACACGTGTATACACAAAAGGTTTATGATCAATCTCAAGAACTAGTTGGTATACTTCGACTTGCCTATGAGAAATTGAATTATACCAATCGTAGCCATATTCGATTATATCTATTAATCAAATATTTGAAAATCATGGAAAAACATGGTCTATGCAACACAAATGTTGATATGTTAGTTAAAACAATTCCACAGTACTGGCTAACAAAAAGTTTAAGAAATCTGCTTTCATTACAGTGATCTTTTATTTGTGATACCGATCCTTACTTAATAAAAAAGAATGCTACAATATTTGTCAGATGTGGAAAGGAAACTTTTTGATAATATTGATAATCTTCTTTTCTGCAGTAGATCGAACAAAATAATTTGAGAAATCAATACTTTTCAAAAACGAAACCAGTTTCTATGTCTTTCATAGCAGTAGAATATCCCTGGCTAACCGGTAGTATTTGATCGGCATACCGAGCAATCAAAAAACAAATACCGATGATAGAATTGCAAGATTTTTAATTTGTGTGTCGACTGACAGCTAGGGATGACGTCCTTAAGACTGTCTCTTCAGCACTCGAGTCAGAGTTCATGTACTTCGACGAGTTCGTGACAGTCGGTTATTGTTGAGTATACTGAGCAATTTGCTGATATACCACGGTAACCGGCGGTATTCACCTATTAAGTTCGATACAACTTATGCGTAATATCGTTGTTTATTGTTCTAGATAGTGAAGTTTGAAAATCTCCACATGCGTTTAATAATTGAGTAAGGAGGTATGAATGCACTACTGATTTGAATGAAAACTATAAGAAGGATTAGACTTATCGAAACAGGCCACATTCACTGGACTGGATTGAACATTTTTTGAGCTCCCCCGCGCGAAGTAGACTGGACTCAAACTTTCAAGACCATGGACTGGTGTGGACTAGAAAAAAAGTTTTGGATTCAATCGGGAACAATCGATAAAAAACATGTTTTTTTTGTATTGTGGACTCGATTGGGCTATTTTTAGAGTCCATGGACCAAACTGGACAAGCTTTGAGTTCATACGGCACTCTGGACGTCAAGCCCAAAAATTATGATCACCGTTTGTTTTAATCAAAACCCATTACCTTACACGTGTCTCGATGCAGTTTAATACGCTAATCCCGAATCAGATATTGGTTTTAAGAAAAACATGATTAAAACTAAAGAAAGATCAAAATTGCATGAAAAGGTATCAGTTTTTTCAAAAACCTAGATCCGACAGCAGGCAAGCGCGTCCACTATAGATATAGTTGAATATTCTGATAAGTTTGACGGATTTGAGAAGAAAGCTCATTATACTAGCACATCCATAAATTAACGTGACTAGAACGAAAAATCTTTCTTCCTCGAGATTTCTGCATCAAAGTTAACAGCTCTTCTGTCAATAAACACATCGGACGTTTTCTTCATAATCTGTAGAGTATTCGTCGCCCAGCAACTTTTTTCGTTCGTGATTTATTTTTTTCTACCAAGCTCAACACACTAACCATTGTAATTTCGGGTAAGTGTGAGTCTTAGTATATAGCTTCTTTTACTTATATATGCACATATATAAAACAATCATACACACATGAACAATCATCGTTCTTAAATTATAGATCTCATTCTTTTGACTCGAACACACTCGTCTACACAGGGCTTCTTATAGCTCCTAGTGTCTCAGTAGCGTTTTTCTCCCTTGGGATTTCCCACATTATCAGTGCTTATACCCTTTACTCTACTTCAAATAAACCTCATTTTCCATTATTTCACTAAATGTCCGCCTGGATGTATGCTGTTCCTCTATTTAATATCCGACTTTCTCTCTTTTCGACATCATAAAAGAGTTTTTTATTGAGTACAAACTTCGTTCGCGTACAAGTGAAGTATCAATTATACCAAATTCTTAATCAAGTGCAACTGCCCAAATCTGATGAGGATTCATGAACTCCGCATTTATCGCAACAGATAGACCTTATGTTTATTTGGTACTAGGCTCTTGTAGAATTGAAAAACAGCAGGTAGACATAGAAACCACATAGGACTCTTTTGTTCTTCCACAAAGGTCTAGGACAAATTTATATGTAACTGTCACGTTCAAAGATTCGCAGCAAAGATCAAACTAAGTAGCTTGTCATGTCTATGTCCAACAGAAAGTGGACATTTCTTCGAAAAAAATAATGCAGTGTGATCCTCGGCTGGACAAAGATCCTTTTCTTCGTGTATCATCGCGAATCTTACAATGTTTTCCAACTGTAAAACAGATGCAAAAGAAATTGAAAATACAAACGAACAAAAAAGTTAAAAGTAATTTGTGGCTGTTGAATCAACTACAATATCTATTGGATATTAGACAATGAATCTTGTTTCTAACATGCTGTACAAGATGAGGGCAAACGTAGACATCACAATAAGTGTGAACTACTGATATGTATTTAGATATAACTGTAATTATTGATCATAACCTTTGTTGTAGTCGATTCAACAATAACAATACATCTGAAAAGAAAGCTTTAGAAGAGAATATGTTTACTAGTTCGCTAAGTGATCTCTCGACAGTTGTTCTTGTGAGTAAAACGTATATCTACCTATATATTAGTTAATACAACAAGATAAGCTATTGCACAATCCCAATGTCTATTAGAAATGTAAGAGGAGAAAACGAGGGAATTAATGACAGCACTCTTTCTGTCGAAATTATTCATGCTCCAAACACAAATGTGGGTATATCATCATCATCAACAAACTCAGCGGTAGTGACTTTGCTTTTGCTTTTATTGATTTTGTGATTCATTTTATTCTAAGTACAATTCTAATGAGTGATTATTCGATGCAACAAAATTAGTAATACTTATATCCGCTGCTGTTGCTTTACAGTCACCAGCCATCAAATTAGTCGAGCAGAAAGAGCAAGTGTTTGTACACAAAAGAGTCCAGTCATACGGACCTAACACACCTACAGCTAATGTTGGTCGTATTTAAATCGAGAAGATCAAAGAAAGTGTGATGTTCGAGGAGAGAATTTATTCCGACAGTCGTGTTATACTGATTGAAGTGTTTCAATTCATATTTTCCAAACAAGTGTTCAAAATTTCATGTAGTGACTTTCTGATCTTCTTACTCCTTCGTCTATCTAGGCCTTGATTATCCCATATTCTAATCTTCTGACTTTCTCACGAGGAAGCCTATCCAAGTGATACCTTCCGATTTCGTTCGTTCATACATCGATCGATAGAGGATATCGGGCTAGTAAAAAGCTTGAAAGGATTTCCCGCCCCGATTCTTGAAGGCCCGGTTCCCGGAAAACGAGTTTTTCAGAAACTCTAAAAAATAACCAAAACGTTCCTTAATGAGGCACAATTGTAGGTTGCAAATTTCTGATTAAAATGAGACATCTCCCAGCTCTACACGAACTTTATACGTTATAGAATTTACTGAAATGCCTTAAATGTTCATTGTCAGCTCAACGCAACAGAAATAAGAAGAAATTAATTTAGGACTTTTCTTGTAAATTTTATAACTTTGCAAAGAATGGTCGTATAGAGCTGGGAGCTGACTGAATCATATAACATTAAGAAAGGTTTTGGTTACTTTTTGGAGTTTCTGAAAAATTGGTTTTCCACAAAATCAGGTCCTCAAGAGTCATGAGGAAAAATTCTTTTAGACTTCTCTTACCCTCTATCGCTCGACGTTTGAACAAACGAAATCGGAAGGTATCACTTGGATAGGTTTCCTCGTCAGGTCAGAAAGTAAGAGCAAGTGTGTTTGTACGCGAAAAGACTGATGATTAGTCACACTGACCTAACACACCTACTATTTAAATCGAGAAGACCAAAGAAAATAGTAAAAGTAAATGAAACAGACTCTGAGTAACATTTCATATGTTTCGTACGTGTGTTACCGAAGAATGCTCGTAGTGTGGTTCCTCGATAAAGAAAGATCTGTTCTATTGTTAGAAAGAAAAATCAATTTAGCATTTGGACCTCAATATTTAAAAGTCTTATTGGAGGAATGATATTTTGTAGCACCTTGTTTCTACTAGTATGCATCATTCTCAACGTTTTGACTTATACATGTGACAAATGAATGTTTCATTTCATACAACAGAACGACAAAATATTGTTATTTTATATATGTTTTGTGTTAAAAGAGACTGATTGCTCTTGTGGCAGCAATATCGATTTATTTATGGATTCAACCACTTCTTATAGAATATTAGGACTGATTTAATGATAAAACGTAAAAGTGTTTTGATAATTGGTATCGATGGTTGTCGTGCTGATTGTTTATCTTCCTCGGCAAGTCCAACTATCTATCAGTTATTAGAGACAGGTGCCTATAGTTTAAACTATCAAGTGAATGATCGTTGTTTATCTGGTCCAGGATGGTCAACTTTAGCAACAGGTGTGTGGCGAAATAAACATGGTGTTGAAGATAATTCATTTACAATACAACGATTTGATAAGTATCCAACATTCATGACACGTATAAAACAGCTGAAGCCCGAAACAAGAACAGCTAGTATTGTGCATTGGTTACCTTTAAAAACAAATATTTTTAACAAGTCAATTGATCATTCTTACGCGTATGAAGGCAATGATCAACGTGTTGTTGATCAAACAATTCATTTATTAACAGAAGAAGAACGTTTAGATGTTGTTTTTGTACATTTAGGTATTGAAAAAACTAGTTCCATTGTTGAAATAAAATTAAGCCATTCATCCATTTTAGATGATGTTGATCATTCTGGTCACGCCTACGATTATGGGCCACATATTCCACAATATTTGGATGCATTGAAAAGAGTCGATCAGCAAATTTGCGACATGATAGTTGCTCTACGCCTAAAACGACGTTGGTATGAGAACGAAGATTGGTTAATTCTATTGACCACTGATCATGGTGGTTTAGACAGAGACCATGAAATAAATATACCGGAGAATCGAACAACATTTTTGATTATGAATGGTACGAGTGTTCAACAATGTGGAGAAATTCATCCTCATCCCTTAATTGTTGATCTATCGCCAACTATTCTCTTACATTTAAATATACCGATTGATTTGAATTGGCAATTAGACGGAAGACCATTGAATATTAAATATTCGCTCAGATCGTGGATTAATTTAGAGGTTGAATTGAAATAAACGACAGAACAACTATTCGCTTATTCTCTCTTAACATTAAAATTATAAATAAATAGATATCTATACATTTTTGTGGATATATTTCAGGTTGATATAATTAATTTGAAAATGACTTTTTATTAGACAGGTTTCACTTTACTGATGAGAAATTTTGTTTTTATTATAATTAGTAGAGCAAACGTTTATATTTAACTAATTGTTTAAAAACTAACTTTTCTATTTATATCTTATGGATGAAAGAGTATGAGCTCGTTCAAATTGAAGGTAAAGAAATTTAATGTAAGAATTGGCACAGTTTGCAAATACCATATTTTAATTTTGTAATATACGTTTCTTTTAATACTATAGTATTCATGTTATAATAGTTAATAAAAATATCAATATTCATTTTGTTGTAAATTATAACTAAACGAAAATGTTATTAGCAATCGAATAATCAAGATTACAAAATAAATCAGAGTTGACTCATTACGCCGAAAAATAAAGATTAATTTATATTTTATGAGGTATGCTCACTTAAACTATTAAATGAAGGGTATTGAAGTTTCACAATTTTGCCTGGACAACGTTTTTTGAATTGATCGGAAAATCTAATATCTTCCAAAGAATTGAGAATTCTAACATATTCGGAGACACCGAAACTTCCGCTTCTTCTAATGAAATTAAGGTCAACTTTCTCTTCAAAGTATTTTAGATGTCTAATTTTCGAAATATATTGAAAAATCTAATATGCTGGAAATTAATTAGTTTTTCAATACATTTGAAGGCATTTAAGACATGCTGGATTTCGATTTGGCGCCTTTAAGTACCCTTGAAGACAATTTAAAAAATCTTTGAAGAAACTTCAACTATAGTGAAATAACCGCTAAGATGTTTAAGATGACATTGATCGTTTTGTTATTAAAACTGCTCCTCACTGCTCCCATTCAACTGAATCATATAACATTCTATTCATGCTGATGTATTCATAATACAAAGAACGCTCCTAACCATCAGCTAGCTGTATTAGAAACAGTACAAAACCGATGATACGAACAAGAGATAGTCTTTCGATGATAATTACATGCTTGATATGTGAGGTGTACAAGATTCAAAACGGTCGAATAATCATTGTAGACAGTCAGATCGACTTTTCTCAGAGATAACTGTGTAGTTCAGATTAACATGTCTCGATACTATAACATTTGTTGTGGTTGCTGTTAGTTTGACAACAGCTTCTGATGTACAGGCTCTCTTATATCAGACTTCTCTCCTCACTCTGTCGTTCTTCTCACGTTACAAATGAAAGAAATATACAGCGCGTAAAAATATCGAACGTTTATACTATTTCACAGTTTTGAGAGTAATATGTCAACAAACATCACTTGAAGCATGACAATGAATACAAAAATCAAAAAGCTTTCTTTTTCACGCATGTCAAAACATATGTGAGAAAGGACTATAGAAAAGACTATACTATAGTCATTTCTATAGTCAGACTATAGAAAGACTTTTTAATTGTTTTTGTTTCTTCATCTTCATGCAACCAAAAGAACATGTTTCAAATAATAACAACGTCATTCACTTCACTCACTCTATCATGTCAACTCGTGTACACTGCTAGAACAAGAACCACTTGACTGTCTCGGTCACACAAATATCTCCTGTAAACAGTTGTTGCAGCTCTCCAATATCAATACTCATTCCACACCGTGACACAACATTTCCGCGAACAGGACCTCGACTCTTCCACGAATTTTGCATAGTACACATTCGTGTACTTTTGGCAGTGTATCGTGGGAAGTGGAGTTGTTGGGAGTGTGGGAGTGAGTTCGAAAAGTAGTGTCACACAAAAAGCATATTTTCATGATGCGAAGCTTTATATCTGTAACTGTATTACATAATGACTATTGACCACATAACTTCACTCAGATTTCATGTAGTTCTCGGAAATGTCGTTGTATCATTCCACACGCCTTTCAATGTTGATCTGAGTTTTCAACACCTTTTCTAACTTAACTCGTTTCAATTTCAGATTTCATCATAACTCCTGGAAGCACCTCTGCCCGAACTCTCCAAGCACTAATCTGCAATGAATAAATGTCATGTCTGCCTAAAGGTTGCTGGCACTATGATATGTGCTGGATGTAAACAACGCTTTTGCAAGAGAGATATGGATCAACATCGACAACAACTCTCTCATGAGTTGGACATTCTTATACGAGAGCACGATCTTCTCAAACAAAACATTGAAGATATGACCAAATGTGATACTGACAAAAACGAAGTATTTGCTCAGATAGACAAGTGGGAGCACGATGCGGTGGTGCAAATCAAAGCGACAGCTGAACAAGCTCGATACGAAGTTCGTCGTCTTGTGCAAGAGCCAGCCGATCGACTGAATCAAGTCATCAACGATATTAGACCCAAAATACAAGAAGAGGACTATGTGGAACGAGATCTCGAACAATGGAGAAATGATATTCGGATGCTAGAGAGAGAGGTGTCAGTTATGATGAGAAGTATCGTCGTTCAGACTCAAGACATTGACTACACGACACTGATTAGAGTGAAAAAAGTGAGTGTGACACCAAAGAGAGATGAAGAGGAAAGCATGGCACTAGAATACGATAAATTAAGTGGTCCACCGACGAAAGCGGTAAAGATAGGTGTACATGATTATCTTGTAGGAGCCTCAGGCAATCATGTGTTGATTAGGGAGAAAGGTGTTGGTTTCTATTTGATGAGCCGAATGACTGAAGATAAGATCCATGTTCGATGGAGGACACGGGATGAGCTGCGAGATGGTTGTTGGTCTGTGTATCTGAATCAATTCATCATTCTGGGTGCGAAGACTCTTTCTACACTTGATGTCGAAACAACAACGGTGAACTCAGTTGAACAAGTCAGTGACAAAAACGGGAAAGAGTTTCACAGCTGCACGTGCATAGGTGAAACATTGTATGTGACTATGAGGGAACGTGGATCACGAATAGTTGAGTACAACATGTCGACGTGGACAGTGATCAAGTGTTGGATACCGCCTTTGTCGTGCAGGCAAGATGAAGGGATAGTTAGGATAAGGTTTAGCGAAGATGGAGGCCGAGTGGGAGTGACGTTGGGTGTCAAAGACAAATATCATTCATTTGAATTACGAGATCGATCAATGACTGTACTTCAACTACTACGATTTCCGTATTCTGATAATGGATATGAGCTAATTTTATTTGGGAGTGGTCAGTGGTTGACTTACGTATTCAACAGTCAGCAACTTCATGTCATCGATAAGAAGGGTGTCCTAAAAAGAACAGTTATAACTAAGAAAGTGGTGCGTAGGGTGGAAGTAATAGGTAAAAAATGTATCATTCTTCTGACCATCGATAATGAACTTTGTTATTACGACCTTTGAGACCGAGATGCATGAGGAACGATCGTGAGAAATAAAACTACTGATTTTGGTTTAATCCAAAGTTCAAAGAAAGACTTTGCCTTATTAGTTGTCGAATTTCTCAACTTCTTGCATGTGTCGCATACTTCTATGCTCAGACAGCATTTTTAGATATTGCATCAAAATATATTTTGTAGTCAACATCATTTTCTCTGCGAGTTTTTAAATCTTTTGCGCCAGGTCGTCTAAATAGCCCTCATCGGATATCAGATTCATAATCAACGTCAAAATTTGCCTAAGGTGGAATACATGAGTTAAATCGTTGCCGATGTTTTCACTAGTATATAATATGCGGCTTCTGTAATGGATGGCTTAGTTTTATGATAAAAGTATCGTTCATATCCATATCAACTACAGTACTCCGGAAAAGTAGCAACTCCCCTCTAACTCAAGAACCATGATAGCTAGTGACTTCTGATTTTGTGTAATCATAGCTCTCAGTGAACGATTATTACGCATCAAGTTTAAACCTCTTCTACTCTCTAAAAAAAATAGGCAGTTTAAAAAACCCAAACGGTTTTTCATTCCTGTTTCTAAACCCAAAAGGGTATAGTAGCACATTTGAGAAACCATTTGAGGGTTTTGTATCGTCACTAAACCGGTTTGGTTTTTTAAAATATTTTTTGGAAAAGTGTTTTAAGATAATAAAGGGTTTTTTGTCAATGTCACAAAACCCTAAAGGTATTCTATTTTCGTTACGAAACCCAAAGGGTTGATATATAAACCCTTTTACTATCTTAAAAAACCAAAAGGGTTTTTCGTTATTGCTGCTAAATCCGAAAGGTTTTTCAGTTCAACTTCTAAACCATCTTAATAAGAAATAAATACTGTACCGTAAATAGAATACCTTTAGGGTTTTGTGACATTAATATAAAACCCTTTATTCTCTTAAAATACCTGTCCAATAAGTATTTTAAAAAACCAAAACGGTTCAGTAACAATACTATACCCTTTTGGGTTTAGAAGCAACAATAAAAAAGCGTTCGGATTTTGAAAACTACCCATTTATTTAGAGAACGGGTAAAATACCTCAATCACGGTTCATGACTGTTCGTAACAGTCATTCAGAATATCATATTAGTACTGGAATCATTCACAAATGATGTTATCGCTTTGAGATAGCCACCTGTTTTTTTCGATCTCTCAAGATAAAGTGTTCCGTAAGGTACTTCACATAATGATTTCACCATGTTTTACCCGGCTTTCTCGCCGGGAACATAATGCAATCAAGGTGAATCATTCACCAAGGTTCGGCTTGCTTCGAGGTTGAGCTTAAGGTAAGTACACAGCAATTTTATTTCTAAATACGCTCTCTACTTGGCATAGAAACTGTACTAACAGCTTTTTTTAAACTTTTAGAAAAATTTTGATTGTGATTTCTAAAACAGCTTCAGTCTCAGACTTCCTCCGATGTACTTCTCAATTATATAACTGGTATTTGATCTCCAAATATAAATGAGAGCAACTGATGTTTTATGGTTCGCATGTGAATATTACCGATAAGGTAATCCTTGCCATATGTGAACAAAACATTCACACTTGCACTTTCAGAGAATGTATATCCGAAGATATTATCGCTAGGATCAATCCGTTATAAGAGCCAATCTTATATCCTGTGAATGAGGCGGAATGGCTGAGCCCCAATCCTCTGTGCGTCGAACAGGACCGAACTGATCTTTGCTACATCCTGAGAGTCACTAACAGCAAAGCGATCTTACACCGAGGATACTCACAA